CACTATTACTGGGTAGGGGGTCCACGTAAGGTCTAGGGTTTAAAGTTTAGAAGACTTTGATTTTGCTCTGGGATTTCCCAAGTCTAGGGCCCTTTCAACTGCCAGTTCCGGGGACCTGCGAACGCCATTTGAGCTTTAGTCAAATTCCTAGTATCTTCCTGAATGAGCCCTATAATAGTCCCCTACATAATCCCCTATGGAACCCCCTTTAAGGAGTTTAGATTATAGCTCACTTGGATATGTGGCAGGCTCACCCTCCTACAGAACCTAGTTGGAGGTTCTCAAAACCATGGGTTTAGGGTGTCGGGATTCTCAACATTATGGATCATTGTATCATTTGTCCTTTTGTAGGAAGTATTCTATTCTGAGGAGGGGGCATGCAGACAGCGCAACCCTGATTCTGAGAAAGGCTCACATGGAGCTCAGCGGGTCTCTTGCGCTTTGTCTTGGGCTTAGCGTGTAGAGGTCTAGCAGTAGTTTAGGATGAAGAACTTTCCGTCGAGGTTTAAGGATTTAGGGTTAGTGGCTTAGAGCTTAGGAAGTAGGGCTTCGCATTTAGCGCTTAGGGGCGGCGGGTTCGATGGCTTCGTCACACAGGTTGTGGAACCACATTTGCGACTTGAACGTCCAAATCATCTAAGCCAAGCCTGAGACATGGGTTCATTAGAAATAAAATGAAAACACTTTAATCTCAACTCCAAACTTGCCCTGAACCTCATCATGTTTATGCATCATTTGCACCTTTATTAGACCAGAATACCACTCAAGGATCCTGCCGTAGGAGGGCCTTCAACTTATGCTTGTGCTGAGACCCCAGCTTGCCAACTGAAATGACTCAAACGCAGACTGCGCGCTTTCCGCACGAATGCGTGCTGGTGGCATCCGCTTCTGTCAGAAGCGCAGAACGAAAAGCAGCACGAGTGGAAGCACTTTAGGGTGCAGGGTATGAGGGTGAGGTGCACTAACTACTGGACAAGACGTTGAGACCTGTAATGCGGCATCAAGTTCATTTGCGGGGGAGGGTTCGGTGATGTCAGAAGCATTATTTTCTCGACTGATCCTGAACCCTGCTTTAATCTGCTATAACGACCAAGGGACTTTTAGCAATATGAGCATTTCAATCATGGGCGGCTCCCTTTCATGCCCCCCCGCCCACCCACCCACCCCCTGATATCTCAGAGCGTTGTTTTTCGAAAATTCCACACAAAAATCTGAGATTCACCCGCCCATTATTCCTGCAGTGCCGTGGTACCCTACAGTCCCAAATTCTAACGGGTTCTGAACCCTAAATCCTAAATCCAAGACAAAAATGCCCGAACTCCAGATGAAATCCATACGGAGGACCCTGGTCTGGAGATTCCCTATTTAAGGTTCCAAGCCCTGAGCAGGATTTCGGGTTAAGGGTTCAGGGGTAGGATGCAGGTTTTTTTGGGTTGAGGGTGTAATGGACTCAGGGCAGGTTTGGGGGTCTAAGGTTCTTAACCCCAAGCCCTTGTAGGGTTTAAACCCTAAATCCCAAACCCTGAACCCTAAACCCTAAGCCTTGTGGGTTTCGAGTTGATTGGCGGTTGAGTTTGGTTTGGGCTTTCAGGTGTGTAGCCTACCCAAGAGTGGAGGGATCAAGCTGGATAGTGGTTTAGGTGGATGTAGAGATGCCAAGGATACTGGCCTGTAGGGTTTAGGGTTTAGGGTTGGCCTCTAGGTTCAATATTTAAGGTTTAGGGATATTCCCCTCCCCCTGGTATAAAAATCCCCACTCTCCTAACATTGAACATTCACAATATGTTATGGTGTACCACAATTGGAAAATTCAATGTTAAGGGGGTGCCGGGATTTTAGTATTAGGGGAGGGGAGTACCAAGGATAGTGGCCTCTACCCCAGAACCCTTCTGCGGGTATTGTACATTACTAGTGCATTCAAATTGTCGTAATGTTATAGGGGCCGAGGCGGTATCGGTATCGTATACCAAAACCTACAAGCAGGCAGGGTTGACGACTCATGTTGAAGATGCTTACCCGTTAGGTCGTACATGTGTGCAAGGAAAGCACCTCTAGAGGAGGGCACGAGAATATTGACCGTTGACTCTTTTTACAAGACGGTGCTGCGTGTTTCGGAGCGCATGCTGGGCTTTACTGCTGTATTGATTGGGCTGCGAAGCACACTACGGTTGACTACACCCCTGAATCCTACAGGTCATGAGTAGAGAGGATCGAATGGGCCCCAGGCCCAAACCCTAAATAGTAGTTGTCCATTATCCCTATATATCCCCTACAGTCCCAGTTTCTATTATTTTGTCATGTGCTTCTCCATTATGGGGGGGGGGGGTAAGGACAGCTAGGAAATTCACAAGGCCCATGCTTTTCAGGGGTCACCTAGAATTCCTCTAACTGTGCCGAATATACCTTTGGTTAGCTAGGAAGAGTAGTCCCTTTTTAACTATAGTCTAAACTCCTCAAAAGGGGTTATATACGGGATTCTTCGGGGGGTTATTAAGGGGGATACTAGGAGTTTAGGCTATGGCTCATATGACCCATTATGGTTGTTTCCATGTTCTTTTCCATTCCTTCATTCACAACTAATCAAAGGTAAGCATATGGACGGTTGCTTTGCCCTAGGGTGTTGTCAGGGTTTAGGGTTCAGGTAGCCTAGCTACGTGGTGGTTC